GAATCGTGCAGAATTCGTCCTCAAGAGTGCGAGAATACAGCCTCAACTGGTGCCAGAAGTTGTGGACATATAGGAGGACGGGTGAAAGAGGCTATTTTGAGCGTAGACTTCGGCACCATTTTGTAAAACACTCTCTCTCTTCGTGCATATCTTATAGCGTTTCCCTGAAAGCTAACTCTAAAGTGACACTGACGTCTGCATAAGCCATTTGATTCGGCTTCACAGTTTCTCGCTATAGAATTGCACTAATCCTTAACGTTCTTGAGGTAAGTTATGATTGTTTTACTTTTTTAGATGCCACCAGGTTCGCAGTACCTGAGTAATGATTTTACGCTACTGTAGTGGCACTACTCTGTTGCTACACCTATTATCACGGCTTTTTTCTCTTGCCAAATTCGCTTAACGAAATGCCAAAACACCCGCCTTTTCCGTTAATCTTTGGCTAAGCATTAATTTACTTTAAACTTATTTTCTTGAGGCATAACTAATTTTTTGCTCAACAACGCTTTTTTAACGTTTTTAGTACCAACCTTCGCTTGACGAAACCGAATGCTCGAAATCGAAAATGCGACTGATCTGCTTTGCAGAATCCAAGTTATTAAAGGAATGGTGAAAAGGCAGGAAATATAAGTAGCCGGTACACAGTTAGATGGATTTAGAATCGTTGCGTGTTCACCGTAAGTATTTCAAAAATAGAAACGGTTTGAGTCAGATGCTGACAAATATGGAAGATCTTCTGATTCCGTTTTGTAATGAGTCAAAATTACTAGATCTTATTTTGAACTACACCGACACGGTTCATCATTTGAGCCATAATGGTTAAATGTGGTAACGATACACATCACTGCCATTTTAGTATTATAGGATATGCAATTTAAACAGTTTCATGACAAATAGCTAAGACAAAAACGAAAATCAGGTGTGATGAATTTTTAATTAACAGTGGACTCGTTTCATAAGTGACATAAGCACAATTATTACCCTTCGTCAAGATGCTGTTACTGCTGTTAGTAATAAAACGTATCGATTGTAAATTAGAGCTTTAGCTTCTGATTTATATTTCTGTGCGTTAACCATTTCTCAAGAAGTTGTTCTAACTATCCATTTATGATATCAAGCTAGCAGTACCGCTGTCACATCTATTCGCCATGACCAAAATCATGAGTGATGTTCATCTGTCGACTACGAGGTTTTACCATTAGTTGCATTGATTGCTTATTCGAATGAAAAATAATGAGCAAAAAGTTGAAAAATGTTCAATTGATGCATACTAAGTAAGCATCTTGTAACAGTGATTGAGATATTGAGATGTAACAGCATGCCCTGGCTGCCAAAGGTCTACGCGAAGGAATCGCTACCCAGTCTAAACGGAAGAGGTAGACAGCAAGAGCTGTGGGGAGGCCGCAAGGTACCAACTTGATATAATTAGATTTTTCTCAAGGAAACGCCAGGGCTCTGGAATTCTCTACTGCTGGTGCTCTGAAACCATAGCCTTTTTCCCAGATGTCGGTCGACTCTACGACTTTCACTCAGAGGTTGTTATGGTAAAATTGAATCTGATTAGCCGAATCATTGAATGGAGGGCTGTCAGTAGCAGAATGACAATCGTTCGATTCATGTTGCAACAGACGAAAACGTTGGCAAGTTTATGCGCCGAATTCAAAGGGATAATATTTAGTCTTCACGGATGAAGTATATGGTGTTCTGAATACAGTATTGGCTACTGTATCAATCATACTGTTTACGAATTCAATGCAAATGCTAAAGCAGACGTTGAAAACGGAAACGAATGATTGGGAAGAATGGCCTTAATGACTTTCACCATAGCGGCATGAAGTTATTGCTGTCGGACATCTTAAAGCATCGAAACGTGCGTAAGTGTGCAAGGTACGGAGAAGCGTATGCACAGACAAGTATTAGCGCTTGCATTTGCATGTCTTAGCTGGTTCATAAATCGTCGTCAGGTTTTGTCCGTTCCACTGCAAGATGAAAATCAACACTTCGCCACTAATTTCTGTTTCATTGGACTCCTAGTTATACCCCTCTCCCAACAAATTTCTCGTCATGTCATCAATTTAAACGTTTTCTCCGGGCTCCGCATGGTCTTGAAACGCGGTGTACTGTTTCTCTGTCCAGCGATGGACAAGGACTTTGTCTTCATACTAAGCTCTGTTTCATTCATGGCGGTTCGGGCTAATTCAGCAGAACGCCACTGGCTATTCCAATCCGCTGGTCTGTCTCTTCCACCCATTTTCTATCATCAGTAAAGACGATCCTGAGATACGTGAACTTCTCTATGTGTTCCACTGTTTCTCTGTTTATCTTAAGAGAGCACTCGGCAGGAGGACGAGAAAACACTAGACTTTCGCTTTAGCCATTGCCTTCATTGCAGCCTAGCACGCATCTCCGTACTGCACTCGATTTCAAGACTTTACTTACAAGCTATGTTTCTTGAATTCGGTCTACTTCTGCTAATAGCTACCACCATCTATCGGGTTCACCCACAAGTTTATTTTTGGTTTGCTATAAAGCACAGCATTTCATGGTTTCTCAGAATAAGCCGCTCTTAAAGAGCTTCCATTCTGTTACCCTTTTAGTGGTTGTCATTAGAATCTGCTCAAACCATCGCAGCGCATTTTGCTTCATTGGTAGCCTTATCCGCGAGGCTTTTGCACAGATCGTTGCCTTATCCATCGTTTACGGCGGAAAGTGTCAATAACAAGGTAATGATCGGTTGAAATCTCTGCCCCTCTGTTAACTTGAATATTCATTACTGAGTGTTTCAATTCAAACCAAGCGGTTGCGAAATCAATCATCATCTGCCCAGAAGCCTCCCAGTATCACGTATACTGGTACACGTTTCGATGCCTTAAAAAAATGTTATATCAGTTAATTTGCTATTTGCACAGAACTTCAACAACTTCCTTCCGTTAGTGTTGAGATTGTTAAAGCCGTACCTTCCAATCATGTTTTTCAACTTTTCAGTGCCTGCCCTATACGTGCATTGAAATCGCTCGCTAAAAAATTAGTGAATTCCGTTGTCATCACTTTGCAAAGGGTACTTTCTGGGTCTTCGTGAAAGAACTCACCTTCTCCCTACGAATTGGGCGCATGGACCTGTGGCAAGTAAATCTTTAGTCTTTTGCATTTTCAGTCGGTTGGTTTGCATTATTCGCCAGCAACTTCCATTCCGTGACTATGTCAGCCATATTGGATCCTACTGGAGCTTCCACACAAAGAAGTTCATAATTTTGCAACCCTTGCTTTTCGTTATATGTAGAGTTTAATTATGTCCGGTGCGTACTTTGCAGCCTCATCAAGCAGCTCCTGTTCTTTCTCTCTAGTGAAGATATGTTCAGATTTCCGACTGTAGACTCTAATAATCGGTGGAGTCTTTCCTGATGCGCTACAATGGCAGCGTACTGTCTGCCTGCTCCGTTGAGAATGGTTTTCGGCTTCGTTACTGACTGGCATCTTCATCGTTTTTTGTTGGTCTCCGGCAGTCGCCACCCCGCTGCTGTCAGAAGCGCGAAGCACGTTAAATTTGGCGAAAATTTTCATTGCTGCATATTCGTGAAATTTGCTGCCATTTTCTATGTAGAATTCGCTTCGGATGTGTTTACAGTAACACTTTCTGCTTTCGCTGCAAGAAAAAGCTACGTATCATCGATGGGGAAAGCGGACACAACAAACTATAGTAATGACATAATGATTTGCAGGTACAACAATAGAGTTGATATATGCGGACTGGAGAGAAAGTTGTGCGCGCTGCGTTCAAACGGTAATATTGTTGAAAGCCGCGCAGCGGCGTTGGCGTTGTGGTACTGGAGAGTCAGCGGGTAGTGCGCAGGTGTGACGTGGCGACTGAGGCTCGCAATGTTCACCGACTGACTCTTTTTCGTTTGCTGCTGTTTGTTGTGTTGCTGTCTGCTTGCAAATAGATAGATGGAAAAGGATGGCGTTCAGACGTCGTTGTCATTCGTCGTGTGGAAGCATGGCAGCTTCTACGGTCGAGTCGAGAGGCGGGCGATGGAGCGGAGACCTTGTCGCACGATGTCAACAGTTTCGTAGTTTTTGACGACCATCAGACGACATAATTCCAGTCTGACGACGACGGCGGCAATTCAAAAGCAGAGACGCAGAGGCAGACTCCAGC